GGGTCACAGCAAGATAGCGGCATGGCAAGCAAGCACATGGCAACGTAAACACGAAAATCCCCAAAAATTAGGGCAAAAGCAGAAGCAAGACAAAGGTAAAGTAAGGCAAAGGCAAGAAAAAAAAAAAGCAAAACAAAATTAAAGTTAAGGGCAAGGCAAGACAAATTAAAGCAAAAGCAATGAAAAATTCTAAATTTTCATTTTCGTGGCGAATAAAATGGTAACCTCATTGAACAGAATTTTTAAATAAAGGTAATTTTTTTATACAATATATGATAGAATAAATTAATATCATTAAATTGTAATACTAAATGTAAAATAAAAATAACCTTACTGCATATGAGTAATTATAACCATGGTATAAAATATCGATAATATCGGAAATAGCGGTTGTCCAAAAACATGGAAAGTTCGATGGAAATATCGGGATATTATCGATATCGATAAAAATTGAATAAAAACCACGGAAATTGTAAGAAAAACTTGGAAATTTTTATTGAAACTTTGGAGAATATTTATTTAGTCAATTATCTATTAGTTTATCAAAAAAAAAGAAAAATTAGAAGGAAATGCATTACATGATGGATTTAATTGATTTAAGTTGACTATACAGCCAACTGGCAAACACTGTGAGTGTAGAAAATATGTAGTAATTAATGAAAAAAAGATTAAACACACCATAATCATTTATATATAATGATTTACTACAATATTTTACACTTTATACATTGCATGGTAAGATACATGAATGATTTAGTACCACATAAAGTTCCTATGAGGTTCAAATTTTTCACTATCTTCATCATCTTTATGTGTAGAGTAAGTTTATTGTAAAGAGTATTTATCAAATAATAAATCCCAAAAATAGTTTTGCATGTAATTGTTAACATGCCATTCATATAAATATAAATATTTTAGCATATTATCACTAAAATATAAGTGATATATCGTGGTTAAGGTGTTGGAGGAGTAAAATGGGAGGGGTTCAAATCCCTTTTGTGTTTTTTTTCCCTCCATTTTTTCCCTTTTTTTTCTTTTTTTTCCTTTTTTTTTTCCTTCCTTTACATTTTTTTTCTCCCTTTTTCCCCCTTTTTTCTTTTTTTTTCTTTTTTCTTCCTTTACATCGATATTTTCGATATTTTAGTGATATTACACCGATATTTGATATTTTCTGATATTATCGTCGATATTTGTACGATATGTACATGGATATGTTCCGAAATATCCGTGATTCGATAAAACCGAAATATCATCAATATTTCGTCGATATTATCGATATTTCAAACTATGATTATAACTCACATGCCTCATCAATCATCACAAAGACGCCCTAAGCAATACGACATGCAATCGGTAGATTTTTTTTTATTTTTTTGGAAACTACATGCAATCGGTAGATTTGGTACGTCATGATCAAGCGCATCTGACTCCATTCACACTTTTGAGACTTTGAGTTGGAAAACATAAATTTTGGCCCTATATAATAACGGAGATATGAAACCTCAAAGATGTTGTTGGAGCTAAGCAAGTGATATAATGGAACAAGTTATAGTAAAGAAATATTTGAAGTGTTTGTTTTTCATTCGATTTTCAAAAAGTTGTTGTGGATAATAATGCTTATTTTTCTTCATCATCTAGAACATAAATGGAGAAGTGGCAAAAAGCATTGCCAACCTTCGACAGGACGACAGAGATGTTTCTCTTCTTTTGAGGTGACAAGTGGAAACAAATCATTAGCGCGTTTACTATTCTAATTACGGATTATACCTGTATTTATTAAAATCGAGAGAAATCAAAAGTGTGTGGGGCCCACATAAAAAATGAAATCCAATTCTTGAAATTGAGGGATTTGAATTCCCAACATATACAAGGTATTTGGATTCCGGATTGCCCAAGCAATCGGAATGATAACTTTTTTTCCCTTTATGCCTTCACGTACTTTCATTATTTCCAAGATTATCCTTTTAACCCTATACTTATTTTCTCCTTGTTGCATGTGCTACTAGCTCATTAAGCATAATTATATGCTCATTCATATTATGCACAACTTCATACATATGCCGAAGAGAAAAAACTACAACTTGAGCGAGAAAATTTCGATATTAGAGTCAATACTTAAATTTATAAAAAAATAATAAACAAAATCATTTTAGTATGTCTATGAAATAAAAAAGCAATTTAATTTTATCTTACTATTATATACTATATCAAATTTTATTAAAAAAAAAGTATATAAAATATTTGATTTGAGACAAGGGCATTTTAGTAATCATACTGGTTTATATTTTGATTTTGCTGAATTAGTAAACAGCTTTATGAAATTTTATTCCGATTTCAGACAGTTTTAGTAAACAACTTCAACAGGAATCTAATTCTGATTCCACCTCATTTCAATTCCTCTTCAATCCAATTACTCTCAATTTGATTACAGATTAGTAAACGCGCTATTAGTTGACTAATATTACATATTAGGAATCATCTAATCTAATAGATAGTTAGTAATGGAATGGAAAGAGGATCTCTTTGGATACTTTTTATCAAGTTTTCGGGGATCTTTCAATTACGTCCGTTTATTGTATATCATACGGTTAAAAATTATTTTAAATCTTTTTATGTAAAATTGAATATAAACAGTACTTAATGAAAACTGACTGCATAATATACGATGAATAATTGTGATCGAAGGATTCTCTGGATCTTCACAAAGAAAATCCAAAGAGGATACTCATTCAATGGAATGAACTATGAAAGGGAAAAGGAAGCTGCTTTAGCGTGAATTTCAATTCAGTAAACATTTTTTAATTTTGGTAACCAACTTTTAATAAAGTTTTTGTGTGCCAAACAAAAAATCAACGATGCTAAACGTACTACATGTGTATATACTAAATAGCTGAACTTCACATTTGTATGTCGATTTGCAGTGGTCGATGGGGGCGGAGACTGGAGATGAGGTGGAACCGTCAAATTCCGCAGGCTATTACGTGCATTTCTTAACTTTAATCCACTTACAGCGTGAAAAGAGTTTTAAGTGTGAGAATGTGAGGATAAAGTCCCACATTGGTGAGGGACCAAACCATACAATGGTTTATAAGAGGTTGAGTTACTTCCTATATTTTTAAAGAAAAACTAATGAAAAAGGCTTGAAAACTTTGAGTTTTAATGACAAGGACAAAATAAATGGTAAAGTGAATAGTACCAGGATTGACTTTTTAAAGTGAACAGTACCGGATACTTTTCGTTAAAGTTTCCTATTTTTAATTGGTTTTATGATGGAATCACAACTTTATTCATAGTATCAGAGCAGGACATTGTCCTATGTTTGATTTGAAATTTCGCCACACGTGAGAGATGTGTGAGAATGTGAGTACAAAGTCACACATCGGTAAGAGATCAAACCATGCAAGAACTTATAAGAGGTTGAGCTACTATTTGTCCTTAAATAAGAACCAAAAATAATTATCATGAGGTTTTTAGGATTAAGTACCTAAAACCCTTCAATTTTTTTGTATTATTCCAAATTGGTCTCAACCATTTTAAACATTACAAACAAGTATCCAACTTATTAAATAGATCACATCAGTTAAGCCCCATTTAATTTTTCAAACATGGATTATATTCAAAATCCACCAATTGGGTATGTCATGGACAATATTAATATTAGTTGCCTCACAATCCAAATTTCAACATAGATGATATAATATGGAATCTAATGATCAACCAGGTAATGCATTGAATTGAACTAAAATGTACTCCAATTGAAATTACATCACGAGGACATTCTCTTAACAAAGAAAATGATTAAGAATTTAGATAGGGTTTCAAGGAGTTTGTTTGTTCTCATGTGATTTTCTCATTCGTTGATTCTCAGCTCGTAAAACTTATAGTTCTTTGTGGGTAATGAAGATGGTGGTAACTGCATCATGGCAACCCATACCATTTTAGCAACGTCCATGACCTTCTTCGATCTTGATGTTGGTTGCTTGAGTTGTAGGGTTGAGTTAGTGGTTGTCCGTTGGATTTGGAGTTGATGGCGTGGTGGGAACCGTTAGTTGGTGAAGGTTATGCTTCGATAACTTTCTATTGATTTGGGAGACAAATAAGCTAATTAATTTAACATAATTTTTGAAACAAAAAATCAACAGATTTTTTACTGGAGCTTAACGAATGTGACATTTTCAATAGGTTTGATACTTGTTTAGAATATTTAAAAAGGATGAGACCAATTTGGAATGACACTAAAAAGTAGGGGGTTTTAGGTACTTAATCCTTTTTTTTTATTTTAATAGGGTTGTTTAAAAAATTATCTTAAGGGATGCATCAGGAGTTTATTTTCAGGAAAGATATTTCAAGCGTTTTTGGAACAAAGAATTGTATACCACATGTCATTATACAAGTGGAGGGACACTTGAAAAATAAAACTTCCCTCTACTTATATATCCAATGTTCCGAGTAAACTAAAATCTTTTTCTATTTTCAGTTTCCCTTCAAGTAATCCATGCAATAGTTCATTCTATTAGCATCGTAAGAGGGGAAATAGGACCGCCTATTTTTTTAGAACCTCTACCAGCAATCAAATATAGCCGCCTTGAAGTTCCTCTAAGGACGAGCTCGTCGTCGACTAATTTCCACCGCGCGCATCAGGTTATTAGCCCATATACAATTAGGCGACAGGCTCTAAATTTCGTCGTATTGGGTATTTTCCCAACAAAATTGTCTTCGTTGGCTAAAATTTTGTCCCAACCATAATTTTTTTTTGGTAGTAATTTGATAATCCAATACATGTATATACACATGTACATATTATATACATATGACCTAAAGCTTTTTCGTACATACCAAGGGTTGCGGATATGAATGTTGTGGTTTTAGCCTGCCATGTATCCAATGTGTTGGGCTATGGGAAAGTGTTCCCCACAAAATTAAAGTAATGATTCATAAGTAAAACGTGAGAATTGCAATCTTCATCTACAATCTAGAATATTTAGTGGGGAGAGAGAGAGAGAGAGAGAGAGAGAGAGAGAGAGAGAACAACAGCTAGCTTCCATTGATCAATGATGTTTTCTTCTTAAATCTTTTATCCTAGAGGGAACCCAACACATTTCCAGTCTTCCATCCAAGTATACTTTTGTTTTGTTTATTTTTTTTTTCTTTCTGAGAGTTTGAAGGCAAGCCATGGAGGTCCAGAAGAGCAACACAGAGCATGTGATAGTCACCATAGACCAACCAAACCCTAAACTCAAACAGTCACCCCAACCAGACTCAAATATTTCAATCCCACAACCCTTATCAAGTGCAAAAACCCTTAGACGCCTAAACTTCTCGAAGCCTCGGTCACGGTTTGAGGAGATTAAGTACCCTTTGCCACCACGAACAATTCTCGAATCGGAAGAACTCCAACACTTAAACCCATCCAAAGAAAATAACTCGTCCACGGATGAAGATGACGATGAAGACTGGTATGAAAATGAAGACGATGAAGATGGCGACGGCAAGCACGGAAAGCACCGAAAGAGAAGGAAGAGAAAGATAAACAAGCGAGCTGTAATTGAGTGGACTTTGTTTCTCATAATAATGACTTGCTTGGTGTGCTCCCTAACCCTAGATTTTCTGAAAAATAAAGTGAAATGGGGTTTGGAGATATGGAAATGGTGTCTAATGGTCATGGTTTTGTTTTGTGGGCGTTTAGTCTCTGGTTGGGTTGTGGGGTTTCTTGTCTTTCTCATAGAGAGAAACTTCATGCTTAGAGAAAAGGTACTCTACTTTGTGTTTGGTTTGAGGAAGAGTTTCCAAAATTGTGCTTGGTTAGGCCTTGTTTTGGTTGCATGGACGATCATGTTCCCTGACAAGCACAGCAAGGTCCTCAAGAAAGTCTTTCGTGCTCTTATTGCCGTGCTAATAGGAGCCACGATATGGCTGCTTAAGATTTTGTTTGTTAAAGTCTTGGCATCCTCGTTTCATGTAGCTACATTCTTTGATCGCATGAAAGAGAGTGTTTTCCAGCACTATATTTTGGAAACCCTATCTGGGCCTCCACTAGACGAGGACGAAAGGGAGCTTCCACATCATCGTTTTCAGGCTTCGAAGTCGCTGCCCGCAAGGCTGAGAGACAAGTCTCATCCAGTTTCAAGGTCTTATAGGAGAGAAGGGTCGAGGAGGATTGACATGGACAAGCTTAGAAGGTTGAGCATGACAAGAAGGGCAACGGCGTGGAGCGTGAAGAGGCTTGTAAACTACGTTAAGTCTTCGGGGTTGTCCACGATTTCGAGAACCATGGATGATTTTGGAAATGCAGAGTCGGAGATTACAAGTGAATGGGAGGCCAGAAATAGTGGTCAAAAGATTTTCAAGAACGTTGCCAAGCCCGGTGCTAAGTAAGTTTTTCACTTTTCACTTTTCACTTTTCACTTTCCCTAGCTAATATACTTTTACTTTCACTAAATAATTTGATATTTAAAATAGCATATGGTGGTGCATCCTCAATAAGTACTAGGTGAAGATATCATGATGCGCGCCCCCCTCTTTATTATTTTTATCACTTAATATATAGTAAGTGCTTGAGACACTACTGATGGTTCATCATACATTTGAAGTAATTATATATACGGTCCCTTTCTTACTTTTGCTTATTTTTTCAATTTTGGACCATGAAATGAACATGCTTGATGCATAGTTATCTCCTTGATTAATTTTTTATATATGGTCCCTTCTAGCAGTTATCTCCTTGATTAATGGAATACTTTTCAAATATGAAACCCTCGAGTGTCACTTAACAGACCCATTGATAATGTTTTTATGCTTTACTATATATAAGGACATGTTTACTTACTAAAAATGAGAGATGAGCAGAAATGGGTATGAGATAAACAATCCCTGTATATTAAGGATATACACACCTTCATTTTAATGGTATGCCATGCTCAGAACATATGGGACAGATCTATTTTTTTAACACATAAATAAGAATGATACATATTCTTTGAAATTCCATTTCTTATAAGTATACATGCCATAAAATTATTATGCATAGTTTTTCTATGCCTGGCCAACAAAAACAATAAATTTATTGTTTGTATACAAACAGTTCTCTTATTAGACGGTTTGAGATGTTGTATTGTCTTTTATAATTTGATTTCAAATTCTTTTCAATGTTGAATGTTGATTAGACATAATATGTTCTATTTTGTGATATTATATTGGCGCCCTCAGAACACAGTATATATACCAAATTAAAATCTTACCAAGACTCAAAAAGTGTCTCATCTTTTAAGTTTTTTTAGCCTATAAAAGTATGCATTAACTAGACTTGGTTTATGAGTACACTTGTTACATAATGATGATACAAAGAAATCTTAGAGCCTTCTAATTGAGAGCTTCTTGCTTATTTAATCAGTAAGTGTAGAGTGTTTGATTAAAATTTTATGCCCTTTTAATTTGTAGCCATAGCACAATTACTTCAATATACAAAAATAAAGGGATTTTTCTTGCAATATATTAGTTGTAGTGTTGTACATATAAGAAGGGCACTCACTATATTCATAATTCGGTATTTTAGCCAAAATGATTGTTTTTAAGATTGGCATAACTCTTCATTTTGGTTCATGTGATTTAAAATCTATAGAAGTGGTTCTTGAGATTGTCTATCGTTAATCATTTTGGTCCTTCCGTAAATAATCTTTAGTAAATTGAGGGTGTTTTTATCAAAATAACACATTCATTTGAACGGGTGTTTGTTTAATATAACATAAATGTTTCACAAAAGCACAAAAATGATTGACGATAGATAATCTCAATAATCATTTCTATTAATTTTAAATCTAAAAAACCAAAATTAAAAGTTATACTAATTTTAAAAACTATTTTTAGTAAAAACCTTTCACAATTCACGACTACCAAATGTCAATAGTGGTCATGGCATCTACCCTTATCATTTTACGTACGTCCTTGAGCACAATAGCGATTTGTAAGTATAAATGGCACACAGCTGGCACACGTGGTCGTACCAGTTGGGTGGTGCACTGAAAGATGCACTACTTTTCTGTAAAACTGTACCCTTATTATTTATTGAATAATATTATTAAAAAATAAATATTTAATAATAATTCAATCATCATAATTTATATATTTTGGTTTAAAAAATTTAGTTTTGAAATTTAATTAAGTTGCATATTAGAATTTAGAACTCGTTAAAGCCCGATTCGCATCATTATGCTGGATAAATTTTTTTTTTTGAACAAACAATATTATGTACGTTAACGGGGAGAGGGTATGCTTAACTTCACAATGAGCTAGTAATAATGTGGTTCAAACTTGCCTTTAGCGATAATGAAACTTAAGACCTCTCACTTACAAATAAAGGGGAATACTACTAGACCGTTGTACTAAATAACAGATAAAAGAAAAGGAAAACTAATAAAAATGGTTTGAAAACTTTGAGTTTGAATGATAAGGACAAAATAAAGGGTAAAGTGAATAGTATCATGTTTGACTTTTTAATGTAAAAATGTGGTTTTTCGTTAAAGTGAACAATACCGTGGGCTTTTCGTTAAAAGTCCCTAAAAGAAATTAGATGTGTCTATTTATCTATCTCTTTGACTCTTCTTCCTAACATTATTCTTATTTATTTATTTAGTTTTTGTTAAATTTAAGCATGCTCAACGACGTACGTTGAGAAACCATACTAATATAGTATCGAGTTTGACGGTATCTTAAAATAGTGAGGTATGGAACTCAAAACATGCCAAAAATCTGAATAATCTAAATTAACTAAGTTACAAGTCCTTACAATAGTCTTTTTGGCTTGACTGTTTTCAATTGTTATTATATCTACATACTGAGCAATGAGCATGCATGAACTCATTGATATCATAATTTAGCTAAGATTTTGGTTTTAATTACATATTTTTTGTTTATGTAGCCTTTAGATAATTGAGACCGACCAGGCCTCGATGAATACCATTCTCAAAGTTTTATTTTTTCTCTGGCGTCCTTATACAGATACATAGAAGAGGAAGATTTACTACGGTTCTTGAAGAGTGATGAAACTCACACCATATTTCCTCTCTTTGAAGGAGCAATTGAAACTGGAAAAATAACGAAGTCTTCCTTCAGAAATTGGGTGGTGAGTTTCAATATAATTTACAATTAGCAATTTCCTCGGTCAATATATAATGCTGTCGCCAGAAACTAAAGGAAAGAGACAACAAACATGGCACTAAATGAAATCAAAACAGCACACATTGAACTATATAGACGTACAAAGCTAATTAAATTGCAGTGTTTGTCTGTAACAAGATCAGTTTGTCTGTCTAAATAGCATTACTCGTTTTCTGGTAATAATTTAAAATTGTTTGACGGGTTTTATAGGTGTATGCCTATATTGAGCGTAAAGCATTGGCTCACTCCTTGAATGATACCAAGACCGCTGTCCAACAACTTCACAAGTTGGCGAGTGCAGTCGTAACTGTAATTATAACCGTGGTGAGCCTTTTGGTGATGGGTCTGGCCACAACTAAGGTGATCTTTGTTGTTACGTCTCAACTGCTGCTTGTGGGATTCATGTTCCAGAACATGTGCAAAACTATGTTCGAGTCCATCATCTTTGTGTTTGTGATGCACCCTTTCGATGTTGGTGATCGATGTGTGGTGGATGGCGTGCAGGTCAGACATATTTATATATTTTATTTTTTGGAATACCTTCTTTAGGAAATTATGTTAACAACCCATTGTACAAACCTTTTTTCTTCATTCATCTCTTAGAAAAAAAGCAAAATCGATTATCTTGCGGTCCCAATTTATAGGTACGTACATAGAGAAGGTTTTGAGGAGTAATTTTTTTGTAAGGGTAATACTAGAGAGATCAAATTTTTAAAGGAAAACTAACAAAAAGTCTAAAAAAAATTAGTTTCAATGAAAAATGATAAATAAATGTGTAGTGAATAGTACCTAAAAAAGGTAAAAATAAATGTGTAGTGAATACTACCAAATTTGCAAATTAAATGATGTGTTATCAATAGGAAATAAACATATTAATCAGCATTTAAGTAATAACTCAATCATCAACATCCACATCATTTGGGTTACAAAATTTAGGCTAATTGAAAAATTTGGCCGAAAAAGATGGAAACTTGTGGTGACCGAGGACTTTCTAGAGTGTAAATATAATATTGTGAATATGATATTAACTTACAAAGAGAAAAGGTGTTCTGAGTAGGGGATGGAAAGGAATACATATTTTCTAAGGTGTAAATAAAATAGAAAATACAATTTTATAAAATAAATAATAATCTGAAGAAAGAATGAAAATTTAGAGCACCATAAATAAATGAGGCTCAAAATTGAGCAAAAATTAGGATGATCTGTTGTCACAAGTCTTATGGGTGGTTTGGGAGTGAGGTGCTTAAAAAAAAACACCCATGAAAAAAAGCTGTGAGAGTTTTAGGTGTTTGGTAAACTGAAAAAATTGTCTTATTTTGAAAGTTGCTGTGAGAATAAGCTGAAATCAAAGAAAAAAGTTGAAGCTGCTATTTGTAGCTTTGGAAAACTGGCTTTTTTTCAAAGCACACGGAGCTACAGTGCTCCTTTAATGAAAAGACCCACTATCAGACTGCTTTTGTTTTCTTTTCCAAAAGCACTTTTACAAAAAAATTTACCAAACACTATGCTAATTTATTTCACAGCCACTTATTCTCACAATAGCTTTTTTTCAAAGCACAGCAATACCAAACCAGCCCTTAATGTTGGAGATGAAAAAAGTATTGTACGTCAAATTATTTAGGGTAATGTTTAGGTGAGGTATTTTCAAATTTCAATGCATTTATGCCAAAAAAAAAAATGGCCACAAAAAGATAGATGTCAAAAATTAGAAAATGCACAACATGATTACAAAGATATGTAAAAGAGAATTATAAATTACTCATTCATTTCAAAATCTCTCACACATGTCTCTTGATCAGCTCATGTAATGCCCTTCTAAGCTCTCCTATTTAACTTTTTATGATGTATTTCTTCATCGCTATGCCTTAGTTGAATTCATTAGAATTTACCCTTAGTGAAGAAAATAAAGTAACCCTATCAATACTAAACATTGCATAAGCATGGTTTTGGAATTGGCCTTGTTATTTCCTCTAGGATGATCTAAATTTAACGTTGAGTACTTATTTTTATGCAGATGATTGTAGAAGAGATGAACATTTTATCAACCGTTTTCTTAAGATACGACAATGAGAAAATATACTACCCAAATTCTGTGCTTCTTACAAAGCCCATTAGTAATTTCAGAAGGAGTCCAGATATGGCCGACACTGTCGATTTCACAATTGATGTCTCTACTCCGGTTGATGATGTTTCTGCACTCAAGAAGTCCATACAATCGTAAGCAACCCATCTCATCTACCTTGCATATTTATATTTCCATTTTTACAAGGTTACATGATCGAAATTATTAAGGTAATATATATATATATATATATATATATATATATATATATATATATATATATATATATATATATATATATATATTTCACCCTGATTATAAAAGCTATATCTTGTGATACCAGATTTCTATTTACGTGTATAATTGGGTGCTAATTAAGTCATAGGTCACCAATTTATTAGGTCGATATATATGGACTATAATATATGTACATGCTTGGTACGTAGTCCTTAATTGGTTAATCCTAGTAAAGTTGGAAGCGAATTTTCCAAGGAAATATGATTTTTTTTTTTTTGTAAGAACACCATATGTTTAAGTTTAATATATCGTTACCGTTGAATTATATGTATGTCACATGCTAAACCTTTTTCTGAAACTAAGGATAGATTAGTTGCAATAAACAACAGTTATATAATAAGAATAGATTAGTAATTTTACACATTCAAATAATAGAAAGAAAAACAAAATCAACTCTTTTATATTCCATAATTTTCTCTCACACGCAACATGTAAAATTGTTAGTCTTTTACTATGAAAAGTCACAGGAAAACACTTTAAACTACAACATCATTACATATTCAAACATATGTTGAGGAATTAATTTTTGGTTACAAATGTTGCGTGGAATTTGTGCAGATACCTTGAGAGCAAGCCGAAGTATTGGAACCAAAAACACTCAATCCTAGTGAAGGAGATAGAGAATGTGGACAAGATGAAAATGACGCTATGTGTTCAACACACCATGAACCATCAAAATTATGGGGAAAAGAGTGCTCGAAGATCAGAGCTTGTGTTCGAGTTAAAGAAAATTTTCCAAAATCTTGGCATAAAGTACCATCTTCTTCCTCAAGAAGTAAACATACCGCAATTCAACACAATCAACGGGAGGTTAACCATGGCTTCTTAATCACTACCATTTTCCATCAGGGCCATGGAAATTTACCTGCACTTCACTATGTTAGACATGTTTGTCCTTTGTATGCCTAACTTTAATGAATCATACATTGGAGATGCAACTAATGGGGTTTTCAAGCACTCGGAATTTTACTAAAAATTATTTGCAATCCTGACTTTTGTTTTTGCAACCCTCCTCCTATATACTTCTTTCATTTACAATCTTCCTCTTATTGGTCAGTATTCAACAAATTCAAACCTATTTTTTCCTGTTCCAAATTAGAACTTTCAGTTACATAGCACCATTAACTCTAACATATTTATTATACTTATATGACATAAAATTAATAAACATTTGATATTCTCTTCTCACAACGATCCGTCGGTCCCTCAATTCATATATCATACCAAAATTCAAATTAATTTAACAACAACAAGATTTGTAAAATCTATCTTATTCTCTATTTTGTGTGAAAGTTGATACAAATCATGTTTCATTTGTTTGTTGTTAATTACTATGGAACTATTTAATTATAAAGAAAAGTCATTTTTTGTAAGGAAAACTAACGAAAAGTCCAAAAAACTTCTCTTTTAACGAAAAGCCTTTTTTAAAGATATAATCAAGGTATTAAATATCGATAATATCGGAAATATCAGTAGTCCGAAAACACGGAAATATCGATGAAAATATCGGGATAATATCGATATCGATAAAAATAATATGGAAACCACGGAAATTGTAAGAAAAACTTGGAAATTTTTATTGAAACTTTGCAGGATGTTTATTTAGTCAATTATCTATTAGTTTATCACAAAAAATTGGAAGGAAATGCATTGCATGATGGATTTAACATTATCAAGTTGATTATATAGCGAGCTGGCAAACATTGTGAGTGTAGAAAATATGTAGTAATTAATTAAAGAAGTTTAAACACACCATAATAATTTATATATAATGAATTAGTACAATATTTTACATTTTATACATTGCATGGTAAGATACATGAGTGACTTAGTACCACATAGGGTTCCTATGAGGTTCAAAATTTTCACTATCTTCATCATCTCTATGTGTAGAGTGAGTGTATTGTGAAGAGTAGTTATCAAATGATAAATCCCCAAAATAGTTTTTCATGTAATTGTTAACATGCCACCCATATGGATCCGAGATTGGTTGACCTTGTCCATAAGCAAAATCATTTGAAGATTGAGTCTCGGATTGTTTCCATGAGTCACTCGATTCCATCCTAACAGGAATCGGATATGAAGGGTAGGGAAATGGTTGGTTATGAGTATAACCATAGTTACAACTTCCTAATCCAACAGAGTTCGAAGTTATAGATAACGAGTCATCTTCTTGACTTGACAAAATCCCCTTGCCTCTTTCTCTACGAGTATAGTCATTCCCTATGGCACCAATTCCTGGTCCTGCCCGCCTACTGCCATGGTCCTCATCCTGTGTTGCATGTGTGAAGTTTGCCTCACCAGTGAAGGGGCTTATAAATTCGGAAGGTGGTTCAACATAGTTTTCATATCCACCACCACTACCTCCAGCTTTACTATATCCTTCATCATTCCCATCTCCGGTGTTAGGTGAGTCTCCTCCTGATCTTGTGCTAGAGCTATCATTAGTATCAGCACGATGTTGTGGTTGTGTAGGATTGGAAGAAGGTGGAATTCCAGTGTTTCTTGGTCTTGGGCGCAAAAGTTCTTCCAAAGAGTCAGCGCTGCTAGATCCCACCTCCTCCACTAACTCTTTCTACATTTATCCCTTCATTACGTGCTTCTTCAGCAACTCTGGGAGTTGGGTTGCCTTCATCATCATCTAAATGAAGAGGTCTAATTCATTGATAAAGTTGGTTACCCTCTGTATCATCATCTTCAGCAACAATATCAAACACATCTAGTGGGTCACCACGGTCGACATGATCTATTTCTGCTTCCTTATCTCAAATTTGAAGCTTCATGTTGTAGTAGCAATAAACTAATTTTTCCAACCTACTATGAGCCAACCTATTTCTTTGCTTTGTGTGTATGAGTGCAAATGTGCTCCAATTTCTTTCACAAGCAGATGAGGAAGCTGTTTGTAATAATACTTTGATTGCTAACTTTCTCACAGTTGGTGCATCGGTCCCATACATGATCCACCATTCAGCTACAATGAAAAATAATGTTGATAAGCCTAATAACTCCAACAAATTCTATTATAAACTTATCGTGAAATATGTTTACACTCACTAAGAGACATTTTTGTTCGAGCAGCAACTGATGTTGGTTCTCCAAAAGTTCTTCTTGCATCTTTAAACCATGTTAGCTGAATTCAATAAATCGTGTTAGTTTAATCCACAAAGTAATTATTATAATTTAAGTAATTGTGTACCTCATTTCCAAATTGGCCAACTGCTGGTGATGCAGGGTCTAATTTAGAGTATACATTATGTACAGCACGTATAAGGGTACCATCATCTCCAACACCGGGTCTGTATTGGTATCGAGGATTCAAATAATATGTTGTTCAAAGAAACACATACTCTAATAAGAGAATTAATACTTATGCAACTAAAGAAATGAATTGCAAATTATGACATAATTTATACCTGCTGCATGCAAATCGTGGTATAATGTTTTATACCATCGGTCTTCAATTATCTTTATGACCCACCTTGCACCATGTTTTCTTTCCAATTCATCATTCACTACACGCATCAACTCATATATTGCCCCCATAGTAGGATACACTTCTGTGTCAATGATCCGTAAAACTTTGTAAAGAGGTTTAAACACTTGGCACACATGTTCTGATTGAGTCCAAAAAGCATGATCAAGCACTATACTTTTCACCATACGACCTGCATTTGAGCGGCTGAAATTGTGGTTAGCCCAATCGTCACTAGTGCATACTTGCTTCAACCCTGCTTTCTTCTTAAGTAGGATGTCTAATGTAATATAGTTAGTGGCGAATCGAGTGGTAGCTGGATGAATAATTTCTCCTTTGCAAAATTCACGCATCTTTGCCAACAACCAACCGTGATTGTAAATATAATTTGTGATCGTTCTAGCTCTTTTTACCACAGTAGCAACATTCTCTCTCTTCCCCATTGCCTCAAACATGACATCAATACAATGTGATGCACATGATATCCAAAACACATTATGATGCTTCATTAACTTTTTTACAGCTTTGACAAATGCAGAACTGTTGTCGGTCATGACTTGGACAACATTATGCTCTCCCACCTCCATGATTACATCCCTCAATAATTTGTAAATATACTTGTAGTTCTTTATATGGTCTGAAGCATCAACAGACTTAAAAAAAATTGTCTTTCCCTTGGAGTATACCATGAAGTTTGTGACAGACAATCTAGTCGGGCCGGTCCATCCGTCACACATGATTGTGCAACCATTAGTTTCCCACTTTGACCTCAACTTGTTAACATACTCGCCAATGTCTTTATACTCCATATCCAAATATTTGTTTCTTATCTCATAGGGAGTGGGAGGTTGTACTCCAACACCGGCCTGTTGACATCCCACTACCATATTTTTGAAATGATGTGATGATGCTTTCTCAGCAGGGACATTTTCATAGATAAAGAACTTGCTAATTAGACACCCCATTCCCTCATTCACATTACCTCCAGTGAAATAACTCCAAACACTCTTTTGACGTGCTTTGGATGACTTATATAAACTTGGGGCTATTGGTGGTGTTGGTTGTGATTCTCTAAGACTGCCTCCCCGTCTCATTTGTGCACCACCACTTGTCCCGGAACCTTGTGCTCTATTAGGAATTTTATGAAGGTGTTCTCTTTCCCATGTTGACTATTTGGAGGCACGTAATGCTTGTTTCAAACTGCGTCGTTCTTCAGGTTCTATGTCATCATCACATTCGTCCTCATCCTCATCATCATCACTGTCAACCGCTTGGCCATAAACTTCTCCCCGTAGCCCAGCTCGAATATTTTCCATTCCATGTGTTATCTTTTCCTTCTGCTGTTTTTTATTTTTTAATAATGTGCTGATGAATGCCTTCACTTCTAGGGGGACATTATCGCATCGTTGGACATTTTTTGCTAGATCTAATTCACTAAGATGGTACTTAAGTCGTGTCACTCCGTCACTCTTCATTACCCGACCACAATATTTGCAAATTGTGCCATGTTTGTTTCCGTCTATTGGGTCTCCATGTTCCCAAGCTGGATCACGTTTAGTAACTCCACTGGACATCTTAAACGTACCTATATTTATTTTTCATGAAAATTAGACAATTATTTTTTGGCCAAAAAATATAGTAGTTACGACGGTTATATAAGAGAACCTAAATAATAAAGTTATTCTACAGAAGAATTAAATACGAAGTAAAGAAATGATTGTAAAAATTTAAGTAATTATAAAAATAATATGGAATAATAAAATCTAATATTAATGAATAATAATCCAATTTGATAAAAAAATAATCCTAATATAAAACATAGTGACGAATAATAATCCAATTTGATAATAATCCAATTTAATAATAATCCAATTTAATGAATAATCCAATTTGATAATAATCCAATTTAATGAATAATAATCCAATTTGCTAATAAAAACAACCTAATATTAATGAATAATAATCCAATTTGATAATAAAACCTAATATTAATAAAATAATAAATAACATTAAACATATTAAAATTATCCTAGGGAATAATTATACAACATTACTTAATTACTTAAAAAAATTAACATGTAATTGTTAACATTACTTAATTACTTACAAAAACTAACATGCAAGTATTAATTACTTAAAAAAATTAACATGTAATTGTTAACATTACTTAATTACTTACAAAAACTAACATGCAAGTATTAATTACTTAAAAAAATTAACATATGAGTCCACACAAATTTTTTTTTTGTTGTATAAATTACAATAATATAAATATAAGTTTGTAAACTTACTTTAAATATGGAACCCTTTGTGTTCAAGCTCTGGAATGGATCTGGAATGGCTTTGAAAGGGGTAAGGGAAGAAGAAGAAACGAAAATGCTCTGAATGGCTCTGATACTCCACCTCTTGAAAGAATATCACAGTGGCACACAGTTTTGAATGAAACCACCATCCATGGTCTGAAATTGTACAAGTTATAATTGTAAAAGTGGTCTGAAATTGTCAAAATAATTGTAAAAGTTGTCAGGAATCCTG